TTAGCAAATGTTTGGCTTATAACCTAATTCGAAGTTACCAAACCTTTGCAAAACAAAGGTTGATGAGTAATTAAAGTCCGAGAAGCATATTCTAAATTCAGGAGAAAAAACAAATAAGAGCAGTTTTACTGCAGAAATGTTCACTTCCCTGGGGGGAGTAGATTTTCTTAGCAGAATGAACACTTACCTTTAGCGCTCCTCATTTTCTAACTAGACCTACCTGGTATGTTCCCTGTGGTTTTGCAATAACAGATGTTCCATCCCCAAAGGTGGCACAGCAGCTGCTGTCCTCACAGTTGGTGATAACAGTGGCATAATATGAGTTTTCTATCCTCATACACTTCACCTGTCTGGTGATAGTCTGGGGTTCTTCAGCTATGAGCAAATACATGGAAAGCAGACCTGAGATAAGGCAGACACTGAAAAACATATCCCATCCTGTGGATCTTGCTGCTGTCTCCTGGCTAACTGGATTCCCATGGAAAACAGATTCCACAGGGTTGGAGTATGGCCTAGTCTGTCAATTCAGAATAATCCTTCCAGAACAAATTTTCTTGCTAAATTTAGTATCCTGTATTATTCTCATTATTCTTTTTATTTTGAATGTTTTTCAATTTGAAAAACCAAAAAGCAAAACATTTAAATTAACCACCTATGTATTCACCAATCAAAATTTACACTTGTTGGGTCTGGGGTTGTGGCTCAGCAGTAGAGTGCTCGCCTAGCACATGCAAGGCCCTGGGTTGGATCCTCAACACCACATAAAAATAAATAAAATAAAGGTATTATGTCCAACTACAACTAAAAAAAATTTTGTTTAAATTATACTTGTTACTATTTTGCCATATTTGTCTTAATGTTTATAATATGTATATAAGAGAAAAATTATAAAGTTGAAATTTCTCTTGTGCCTGGATTTAACTACTCCTTACAATCAATTTTTATAATATAAATATATGTGACAAAACAATATGTAATATTTTTTTTCTTTAAATTGACAAAAATTATATATTACTCTATGGAGTTATATGAGTATATACATTACTCCATGTAATTATATGATTACATAATTATATATTACTCTATGGAGTTATATGAGTATATACATTACTATACCTACCATTTCTATACTTGCTTTTTTCTTTTTAACATTGTGTGGAAGCCTTGGGCAGTTTTGATAAGTGTGTGTGTGTGCATGCGTGTGTGTGTGTGTGTGTGTGTGCATATGTGTGTGTGTGTGTTATTCCTTAGAACCACTATACAGTGTTCTTTTTGTATGAACATACCATATTTTATTTTTCTGTTCTGTTATATATAGATGGATATTTATGTTTTTGCAATATTTCAATATAATACTCAGTGTTGAAAGTAGCACCTCTGTACCTGTTTCCTTGTGGAACAGAGAAGAGTATCTCTTTCTATATATACATACATACATACACAAAAACAAAATTAGTGCATCATATTAAATACATGATTTTACAGAGCAGGAGTGGGGAGATGTGGGTCAAAGGTGCAAACTTGCATATATGCAGAATGAATGTCTAGAGATCTAATATATAGTATTAGGACTGTAATTGATAATATTGTATTATATAATGTAAATATTTTATGAAAGTATATTTTAAGTGTTCTTTACACACACATAATAATTATGTGAGGTGATGGACTTGTTAGTTTGTCTGACTTATAGTAATCATTTTACTATATGTAAAGATATCAAGGCATCATTTTATACACCTTAAATATATACAATAAAAGAAAAACAAGCTCTGGCATTTAGTAAAAGGGTAGTCAGGAAATAATTTCCCTTTAAAAATACTCCTTAAATTCAGGATAGGAAGAGTGACAGGCTCTTTGATTCTTTGAGCAGGTTCCAGTTAATTAGCAGCTGCAGCTTCCTTTGCTCTTACACTACCTTGCTGACAATAAGATATGCTCAGATTTGAAGGAAGACCAACCCAAAGTCACCTGTATATGCAAATTAGATGCCTTCAGGATCAAAGGAAACATATCTGAGGGCTAATATCCAGGATGAATGGGTCATGATTATTTGTTTTCAGTTGACACCAATGTGGAAGTTAGTGTTATAAATGAGAAAGACTATCCATAAGCTAACTCGAACTGTTATCACTCCTGTCTCTGTTGAGTATAAAGAGCATAATAAATGATAGTGATGCACTCCACCCTTCACTGCAGCCATTATCACAGAAACCAAGATCTGGAATCAATCTAAGTGTCCACCATGGATGAAAAGATAAAGAAAATAATATAAAGCTATACAATGGGAGGCCATTCAGCCTTTAAAAGGAAGGAAATCCTATCATTTGCAGCAACATGAATGAAACTGGAGTATATTATGTTAAGTAAATAAGCCAGGAACAGGAAGAAAAATACTGCAAGATCTTACTTAAATGTGGACTCAAAAAAAGTTAAACTCACACAAGTAGAGAGTAGAATGGTGGCTCTTAAGGGTTATTGACAGGGCTCACATTTGGGGGAGATGTTGGTCAAAGGACACAAAATTTCAGTTATACAGAAGAACTAAGTTCAAGATATCTATTGTAATATGGTGAGTATAGTAAATAATAATATACTTTATTTTGTATATTACTAAGAGTAGATTCTAAGTGTTCTCGCTACAAAAAAAGGATGTGTTGAGGTAATGCATGTTAATTCAATTGGCTGAGTTATGTTACGGCATATACATTTTCAGTGCATCATGTTGCATATGACAAATAGATATGATTTTAATTTGTCAGTTTATAATAAAATTAAATTAGAAACTAAGACAAATGGCAAAATACTACTACTACTACTACTACTACTAATAATAATAATAATAGCAACACAACACAGGGTTCTAATAGGTCCTGATATGGATTGCATGAGTATCCTTTGGTTGGTCTAATTTATAAAAAATTATTTTTCTTAGGTGTGTGTTCAACAATCTTTAAGAATTATTTCTATCTTATGCTAATGAGTTATAAAAATACTTGAAAAATAAAACTTACTTGTTTCTTGATCTTCTGGACAAATAATCTGATCTTCATAAACTTGATAAAAGGTTGTAATTCTGGTACCATCAGCATGATCCACAATCCGAGTACCATCTTTCCTTTGTACAATCACCACTTTATCTTCTCGAGTTGTCATAACCTGAACACGTACAGGCAGTGCACAATCATTGGGCTGAATGGTTAATCACCAGTGCACTTATTGTTATGCTCCACTGAATACCAAGATGGTACCATCAAAACATAGTTATTTATTTTCAAGTGAAAGTTCTAGCTTGTCTTTCTAATCTATAACTTGCCACAATCTTTGAGGCAGGCAGTTACCCTCAGTTTGCAGATGAGGAAATTTAGGCTTAGAGAAGTTAAGAAACTTGCTCAATGTCACTTAACAAGTAAGTGACAAAGCATATTTGTGAATTACAAGTTAGCATCAGGACTGTGTTGACCCAGGTCTGTCTGGGAAAATGCCCACAGGTCGTCTCTCCTAGGAAACTAGTGACTTAAATCTGGTGTGTGTGGCTGCCTTTTATCCTGGCGAATCCCCACTCTGCAGGACTATACTGGATTGGTGAACTAGAAGTTGGCTTGCACGAGTTGAGCCTAATGTCATCAGAGTGGTACATGGAGATTGGTTAGGGGATAGAGGCTACCGCTTCTCTATGTCAAGTTTCCTCATCTGTGTGCTAATATACATGTGTATTGGGACTGAATGAGACAGTGTACATAAAACCCCTGAAGAGAAGCTTGGCACAAGGAAGGTGCTGTTTAATTCAAGAGTTGTGATTTCATACTATAAATAAACATTATTCTCCATACTACTAATTTTTACGGTACACATAAAATCTTTTGTATAGTTTCTCCTTGGTGTTGAATTCTTGAGTTATTCAACGGGAGCATGGCACCTTCTTAAATACACCTTGAGTTCTTTGAAATGAAGGATCATGAACAAATTTCTACCACTCACTGTGATGGACACAGACATACAGACAAGCATGTTTAATATTAGGAAACATGTGACATCATTAATCATATATATCTTGAAGTGGTTTAGAAAATCCATGACCTGTCTTTCATTTCAAAAATTAGTATTTTGTTCTGATCTGGTTACTCATGTACACATGCAAAGTTAGCATACAATATTTTTGTCAAATATACCACATAATGTTTTTAGAGTGGAGAAGATCCATCCATCCATCCATCCATCCATCCATCTGCCCATCCACTACTAAAAACTATTTAAAATTTGCTATTTGCTAGACACTCTTCAGTATGTTGTTTCAGAGCTCTAATGGTTTAAATGATCTTGCAGTAAGCACTAGTTTGCCATACCGTTCCATTGATAGGATCTGTGGACTCAAAGGATAAAAACGGGGCCAAGCCCGCTATTCTTTCTACGCCTTTGGTGCCAATCCGATCGCCTTCAGGTGTGGTTGTAAACCAGGTGCCCATGTGAGTCTCCATGGGAGTTACTGTTTGAATTACTTCTGGTTGAGGTTCATGGGTTTCACTCTTATGTGCCATTGATGATTGATTTTTGTGACCTTTTCCTGTGGAAATTAAAGTAGAATACAACACAACATAACATAGTATATGTACATCATAGGTTTTGAAGCCATATAAACTACCTCAGATATCAAGACATAGACATTGCTGAGTGGTCTTCACCAGTTATGTTATTTCTTAACAGGGAAAAATATCAGGCTATGAATATCTTAGTTCTGCCATATGAGCCTTGGCTGGATCCCCATCACCTTCCCTGAAATATACACAACTTGCTGTCTGCTGCATAAAAGCTATTCAGTTAATTTCTGTACACTTTTACATCTTGCTTAAACCTCCTTGGATCCCAGACTTGGGGTTCTGTAGTCTGGATTTTAAAGTCTACCTTTTCTCTTGCATATCTGTCAAATGTTAAGATTCCTTCTTTTAACATTGAATTCTGGCCTGTACCAGCTGTTAACTTCTGATTTCCCCTCACTTTTTCATTTTGTTAATCACATGTAGGCAACACTTTTCTTCAACTTTGTTCTGGGGAACATCACAAGCCAGGTGTACCTTTGGATTCTCATTAGGAGAGATGAATTTGTACCACTTAAGTACCACACTGACAAACATCTGATTCTTTCCCCCATTTCCATCGTCCCCAGCTGACATCCACTGGGATCAGAAAGACAGAAATGAAAGTATCCTCATAGAACTCTGAGATCAATATCTGTCTAGTATAACTACACATAGTCCATATTGTAAATTCCATATAGCTCACTGATTCTTACAGAATGCTTTTGTTGATCCATATTGTATATCCATATCTAAGGATGCAATTCAACCACGCTTTGACAATTTTCTGTGCTAATTCAACAGAGCTATAAATACACATAAACATGACACCTTTGATTTTAATTTGCCTTATTAACATTTTCTCCATCACTTTCTTAAGTCTATATAAATCAACAGAGCAGTAAATTGAGCCCCAATTAGAAGCATTTTCCATTTTTCGTGTGTGAATCCTCCAGTGTGGTCATTTCACGTCACCTGTGTGGTGCTGCTGAAGAGGTACATGGTGGCACATCACCACATGATGTCTCTACCACTCAGGTACAGTTAGTATAAGATGATAGTCAAATGTAGGAAGAAGGCAATAATGCACTTCAGATGCTTGTTACTTTTGTTTTTAATATAATTTAATTTTTAATAATGGTTGTGTTTAACAACCAGCTTTCATGTTTACTAAAACACTTAATAATTGGCTCTTGTGAGCCAGTTCAAGCACAACACTAAACCCATCAGAATAAAAAGATGCCCAGTACCAAGTGAACTCCCATGACCTGACAGCTCAATTCCTAGATACGTGCCCAACAGAAACATGCACATATATTCACCAAAGACATACATAAGAATGTTCACATGAGATCCGTATCTCAATCACTCAGGGCAGATTTACTCCCTTTCCATGAATAACAATGAGTTATTTGTAGTAAGATTTGACAGTATTATCAAGCCTCAATGATGACATAAACCCACAACTAGAAATAAATTGCATACAAAGATAGTAAAGGATTGGTAGTTCCAGAAGATTTTCCAGGTTCAGACCAGGAAATGTATATCAGGGCATGAGTCTCCATCTAACTAATTAGGATTCAATAAATGGGGGAAACCAAAGAAAACAGACATGGAGTTAAGCCCTTCCACTGCTCTAAGATTTAATTGACCTATTTACACTTTTAGAATGTTATTGGCAATTTAAAATGTCATTTTCAGAATGGATAGAGAAGATCCTCCAGAAATGGTAGCAAATACTTAGGTATTAGCTTTTCTTCTACTGCTTCACATTTCTTCTTCACCCTCTGCCTTGTCCTATTATTTTCTTATCAAAGGAGGCAAACTATAGAAAAGTCATTCCATCCTGAGGGATATGAGAAAGGGAATGGGTTGGGGAATAGCATGGTATGTTCAGACAACTACTAACAGGCCAACTACTAGGAGAGGATAAATTTAAAAAGATTTTGGTTGATGAAAGAGACTGGAAAGGAGGGTATATTGACTTGGTAAAGTGCACCTTTGCAATATGATGAAAATATCAGAATTTTTCCTTTAGTAATTAAAGAGTTTGAAGACAGATAGCAATGTGGTCAAAAGATTAGTTAGATGCCTTTGGAAGGAATTTGGAGAACTATTTAATCAAAGTAGGAAAAGCAGTCAAGAGGTTTTAAACAAGTAGAGAATAAAAGACAAGAGATAAACAAGTACAATTTTAATTGGACAATTTTGGATATGAAGGGACAGGATGGATGTATGAGAGGTGAGACAATACAAAGAATTGAGCATTACATGCAGATTCTGAAACTTCATCAACTAATCTTCCAGTATTAAGAACAGAAATCAATAAAGTGAAGCAAACTGGCTAAAGATCAGACTGAAAGCAAGAGAAAAGGATCAGTCATGGCTGGAATTCCATTTTCAGGAACATCAGAGACTTGATACCAAGAATTCCGACAAAAATGACTCAACTCCCAGAGAACATTTCTTTAATCCAAAGTGTCTGTGAGCTGGTAACGACAGTAAGGTCAACACATGCCAAGGTCTGAGTAAAAGTGAGACCCCAGAAAGGTAAAAATAGCACTTAAGTGGCGTTTTGCCCTGTGGGTCTGTCAAACTGCTAGACCTTGGGTATTTGCTTTCTTATTGTCGTATGACTTGGGGAGGAATGGAAGGAAGCCTACTCAGTCTAGAGTGGGGTGAGTTTCATATGAGATGTCTCCCAAACTCTGAGACCTAAAGGTCTATATTCTCCAAAAGAGAAGTCATGTCAAAAAAATGTAATACCTGAAGTTTAAAAAAATTAAGATGCATGTTTTCCAGGAGATAGAACAGTTTCAAAGACAGCTGAAAGAGATCTAAAACAATTATTCAGAACGAAGCTGAGAGGGCCAAAGCAACAGAAGTCATGAAAGACATAAAAAGGCTTTTAACATATGTTTGATAGAAATTACAGAAAAAGACAAGAAAGAAATGATCAAAAACAATATTTGAAGAGATAGTTATGAAGAAATTTGAAGAATTAATGAAAGATGCTCATCTATAGATTCAAGAAGCCCAAGGCACCACACTCCCTCATAAATGAATAGAAATTCACACTTAGCCAGATCATATTGAAATTGTAATAAAAGCCTAATATTTCAAAGGCAGGTTTTCTTTAAAGCAACAACAATTAGACCGACAGTCAACTCTTAATCAGCAACATCAGAAGCAAGGAGTGTGGAAGATTACTCCGAATGTACTAGGGGAAAATAGCCGTTTATTTAGAACTCTACATACAGTGGATTTTCTTTCAAGAATGAGGACAATGTAAAGACATTTCAGAAAATATCAGTTATACACTAAATGGGCTAAAATCTCTAAAGACAAAAATAATTTTTCAATTTCTTTCAAGAATGAGGACAATGTAAAGACATTTCAGAAAATATCAGTTATACACTAAATGGGCCTAAATCTCTAAAGACAAAAATAATTTTTCAATTTAATTTTTAAATAGCTAGTTACATGCTGCTCCTAAGAGACACATTGAAACCTAAGCCACAGAAAGTAAAATGTAAGTGTGGAAAAAGTTATATTGGCAAAGTATTAAACAACAGATGGTGGGGTCTGAAGCTGCTGTGCTATCTTGCAATGACTATTCCTTTGTTTCTCAGAACAAAGGAGGGATAACATGGTATCTCTCCTTTGCCCTGTGGATCTGTCAAATCAACAGACCCACAGTATCAGTGAGCACATTCCACAACTCTGTTATAACATGGTTGCAACTCTATACATATATAGAAATAGAATGCCCAATCAAAATGTGTATTATCTTGTATGGGAGACAAAAAGTTATCAAGGGCAGAGTAACTAACAAGAGTTATATAAGACAAGGCCCTGCTGTGCTTTGGGCTAAGCCTTTGGATACCGAATCCGTTAGGCCAGTACCAGACCAATAAAATAGGCACCAATAAAACACTGTTTCTTGCTGAATGTTCCGATGCCCTGTCTCTTTGCATGAGAATCCCACAATACTATGATAATCTAAGCACTGAAGACTTTAGGGGGAAGAAAGAATCCTAGGATAAAAAGCATTGCAAAATGATGAAATATTAAATTTACCAAGAATGTATAGCAATTCTGAAGTTGTAAGTATCTAAAATTATATCTTCAAAATATATGAAGGAAAATCTGACAGTCATTAAAAAAGACAAACTTATTTTTCAAGTAAAGAAATAAAGATTAAATTATAAGGAGTACAGCTTGGAAGAGATTATTCTATCCTTCCAGGAACTTTAAACATAATTTTGCTGAATAAATTGATATAGTAAATTTAAAAATATGTAAAGATACAGGAAAATTCTGACCTGTGGGACAAATAAGACCTGATGTCTGTTTTGTATAGTTTATGAGGTAATTATTTTCAAAGAAATTTCTAAATAGATAAAAAATCAAAAGGATAACATTTTATGACACTTGAAAATTATATGAACTTCAAGTTTTAGTGTCCATACTTTTATTGGAACAGAGCTAAGCCAAGGCTTTTTTAATAATGTATTATCCAGGGCTATGATTATGCTCCAATGGCAAAGTGAAGTAATTATGACAGTGACCATATGGCTCACAAAGTCTAAAATATTTACTATCTTGTTCTTTACAGACAAGTTTACTGAAATCAGACACAGATCTGGACAACACAACTAACAAGTTTTATCTAATAAATATAGAGAACACTGTACAATATAAC